ACTCTCTTTCATTTGTGGTTTTAATTTCAAATATTATCATTGCAGTAGCTGTGATACTAAAATATCACAAACACCAAGCAGGATATAGCTACCAAAGAATCCAGACCTCATATTAACTACTTCAGGATATTTTGAATTTGTGTCAACTTCTATTCAGATTTATCACTCAGAAGGGAGAGGGGAAAAAACCCAAACCAACCAAAAGGGGGAAAAAAAAAAATTCAATAAAGTAACAGCCGTGGAACATAGTGCTTGGAAACTTTTTCGACTTTTTATGTAATTAAAAAAACCTCTCAACTCGGTACTCTACCTTAAATCACTGAGTTGAAAACAAGTGCAAGTGTCTACCTCAGGGTGTTTCTTAGAAAGCATCTAAAAACTAACTCTACAGGTGTAAAGTGACTTGTAGAATACAAGATAATTTAGGTCCTTTTGTCTTAAAAAAAGTATCTCTTCTTATCTTTTTGAATCACTTTGAAACTGCACCTGGCATGAGTTAAGCTGAGGAACAACTGCAAGATGTCTGTTCAACGCAAATTATCCTCTCTTCAAAATCTACTCCTGTGGGTTGCTACCATCAAAATCTGACAGTCTCCAACAGAGATCAGTTTTCCTGGAGAAGGAAATATTGGGTACTGGACTGTACGTGCCTATGCTGCTTGTTGAGTCAACACTTGCTTCCTCATCGATAGCTTTTACTAATGCATTTTAAGACACCAGATACAACTAATGTCTGTGCACCCAACTTAAGGGTTTACCATTAAGTCCAAATTAAATGGTGCACCCCAGAATACAGAGAGCGATGAACAGAATGAAGTACAAAGCTTGAGCTTCCACAAAAGAGGGACTCTGAGTCACATTTCTACCTCCCAAATGACAGCAGAACCGATCCCAACAGGTTAAAGTAAGTATGATGCAATAAGGCTACTTCTCTGGCCTAACGTTGGTGAAATGCAGCAGATCCTACCCACCCCAGAATGTTCTATCTGGCAACAAAGTCCCCTTGAGAGGAACCATGAATGAAGTACATACGTTTCTTAGGATAATGAAACATGGACGAATACAAGTCTGCCAAGTACGTGCTCATTTCAGTTGTTCGTGCAAGGCTCAACTAATTTAGGAGGGAAAAAATATAATGACAGTCCCGTTTCAGATACCACTTGACAAGCCTACATTCCTAACTCAGGCGCCTGTGCAGCCAGCAAGGCTTTCAAAGAACCCAGGCTGGGGTTGAAGTTAGCCTGTCTCTCTAAACCTGATTCCTTAAACAGTCTAAGTTAGGCAACATCAGTACTACCCTTCCTCTTACAGATGGAGTAATAAACATCTTCAACAGGAGTGCCATTAAAATAAACCAAAAGCACAAAGAAGCCATTCTGTTCTACATTACACACATTACACATCAAAAATCAAGACGACAACAAAAAAGTGAACCGATTACACGCAGGTAAAAGATAAGCTATAACTCAGTTTATTTAGGGTACTTCTCCATAGTTCAAACCGAAACTGGGAAACTGCTTTATATGGCTTTTAGCAATGCTGTTTAAATAAATAAGCTACAAAGGGCATACAAAATTATTGTATTTAGGAAAAAACACACATTCTTATGATTTTTCATAAAACTAACAACTGTGTACAATAGTGGGTAGAATTACAGTAACAAAATGCAAGTCAACAACACCGAGGTTCTTTACAGTTGTAACTCCATAAATACGTTGTAAAGTGTAATTGCCCTTAAAGTACTTACATTGAAGTCCTGCATCTATACACATCTACCTCTCTCCATTAGAGAGCCCCTCGTTAGAATCATAGTGCGCTTGTGAAATTTTGTTTGGCTTTGAGTTCTGAACCAAGTCCATTAAGAGAACCATTTTATTATCTATATGTGTCTGAAGAGCCTGGATTTGGCGATCAATATAGTCCACTAGTTTTTTCTCCATCAGATCCATATTTTTTGAGATGATCTTTTCCAAATAGGAGCAAATAGGCTGCTGTTCTACTCTGTGAAAAGAGCGAATATAAGAGTAAGTATAATCTGTTTCTTAATGATAAGTGGCATGAGAGATCTGGGCACTTGAATTTCTTCTAAATGTATAATCTTCTTCATTAGACAATAAACTTTAGATGATATTAGGTTTTTAGCACAAGTAAAATACCTTGCCTGCCACATTTTAAATCTCAGAAATTTTTGTAAACATGCTAGGGTATACAGTCATCTTCTTTCAACCTTATTTTTTCAAGGGCTCAATTACGCATTAGACAGCTTAGTTACGTATAACAAAAAATACAACTCAACAGTACACACAGAGTTCAAATTCTCTCAGTATGGCAGACTTTATTCTTCTCAGCTGAAGTCTTTCAAGAGTTATACAAATGATGCAATTCTTTATTTTTGCATCTGCATTCTTTAAAAATACTGCTTTCCCAAGAGCTGGAGATATTCAGGCTCTATTAGAATCTTAATTCCTACATGTCCCCATTTCCACTATTGCTCCTTAGGTATCAAGCCGGGTGCACTACTGCTACTACTACCACCACCAGGTTTGCACTGTAAATGCCAACAAATGAGGAGGGACAGGAAAGATCAGTGGGATGAGATATACTGAGTACAGCAGAAAGATCATGGCACATAGTGTGAAAAAAGGAAGAGATAAGAATTTAGGAGGTAGTAGCAGTCAAAATGAAAATGTACTAACAGATGGGACAGACAAACTAAATGTAAATGAAAATTTCAGAAACACCAGACTTTTTTTTGAAAGGATAAAAAGTGAAGTGGCAGCAAAAGACAGAAACAGTTTAGTAACAACAAGTGATGTTGTGATTTCTTCTGAAAAGCTCCTATATTCAAGTAGCTCATCTGAAAAATTGTAATCATGTTCATCGCCACACAGCCGTCAAAACCACATATTTTAAGACTCGCTATTGCTGTTAATGAGAATAAAATGCTTACATTATGTATTTTATTTTTTAAACTCATCAATAAATAAAGTCAAACTACTAGTTTAGTAAGTGTATCAAACTTAACTTACCCATCACATTGAATGCCTTCCTCTTTAGTCACTGCATTTTTACCAAAACGCCTATTGCCATCTTTTAGTCGAAGATGATTTACTTGACTACATAAGTTTTGAAGAAAAGGAAGAAGCACCTGTGGGTTAGCTACACTTGGGGTTTCGCTCGCTTGTTCCTGCATATGCAAAGATCCCATAACTTTAAAATAATTTCTGAGGTCAACTGTATTTTCCTGGGTAGTAAGTCTTTCAGAATCAGAAGTATTCCCTCCTTCAGGTACCTCTGTGTTCAGATCATTACTTATTTTTAAGTCTTCATATACCGTTTCACTTGTTAAGTCATTTTTAACAGACAAAGGTTCACTGGCTGGTTGATCTAGTGATGTCTGAAGAGCTGCACTGCGCAATCCATCTATTGCATGGTCACCTCCAAAGTCTGAATTTTTCCCAAAGATCCAATTAAGTTTGTCTCCAAGAGGTAAGCTGTTCTGACGGGAAAAAAAAACCACAATACAATTAATATTTAAGTATTAAAGTATACTGGAAATTATACAATAATAACAACAGACACTTTATAAATCAGCATTCTACTAGTGCAACGTAAAGGTTTTAAAAGTAGTTCTGAATTATATTCTTAGGGAAAAAGATTTTCGCTGTACATATTATGTGTTTGTTATCTTGTCAGTCTCTAAGTAACAACAGTTTTACGGACTTCATTTTTACCATGCTATTTCCCCAAGACTGAATGTTATTCACATCAGATGTATTCAGGATTTTGCTGAAATAGCCTACTGTGCAGGATTAGGACCTAAATCAAATAAATGCTGTGTAAGAGCAGGTTCCCTTTAGTTGAAGGTGACATGCTTTTAATAACAATAAAGGAGACAAACCAGCCCATCTACCTACACCCCAAATATTACAGGGAACATGCCCACAATCCTTGACAAGTAGTAACAGCCAAAATGAACAAAAGGATAGTAGGATGGCAGTGAAGTTTAAAATGATGATGATACAGAGTTCTTAACTCTGGACTTGGTGTATGCACAGTGATTCCTTGAGTATACAATCTTCATTCACTGCACTCCTTATTTAAGAGTGGCAACAGCTAAACCAGAATTAAAATGGCAGAAAGTTTGGGTTAAAAAAAATAAATCAAAAATCTTTTTCACCACATCAGTTTAGAACATGATTAACTGTTACAGAAGGTAAGGTCATGGATCAGTACTATTTATGTTTTCGGAAAAGCACGACTTACTTTCTGCTGACACCTGACCATGTCCATCAGTTGCTGAGCACCTGGAGACAACTTAGATCCCATAGATTCCATTATAGTTTGCACTCTGTCTAGATCTATGCTTGAGCCTAGTGAAGGAAAATCAGTTGCTAGTTTTGCAGACACTGTTTTCACTTGTACAATTATTTTACTGATGAGTACTCTTTGTTTCTCACCAATGGAGAGCAGCTATTGCAAGAAAGAAAAAAAATATTTTGGTTAGGAAAAAAATAGTTTCATGTTTTCTTTATATGTATGGGACAATACATCACTCTTTCAGTCTTGGGAAAAAAACAATGTTGAACTCTTTTCCAAGGAAATTAAGCCGAATTCTCCTTGCTATTACTCTTCAGAAAATTCTGACTGGAACAGAGGTGCCTGCATGACCCAATGATAAATCAGGCCTTAATCTTCTAAGCACTTAAGAGCAATGGCCATACAGATTTTCATAAAGTTATCTAACCACATCAGAGTTAACAGTTCTAATTACATAGCAACAGTTGATTATCTGCAGTTTATCTGGTTTATGAAGTTTTTTTCTCCAAGACTATAGTATCTCTCTCATATAAAGTCTTCAAAAAACTGTGATACAAATTTAAAAGCAGAACTCTACTATCAAGACAAAGTACCATCTAACAGATTTTTAAATGATTATATGAAGTGTCTAAAAACAATAATTTGACTAAGAGCAATGCAATTTAGTCAATTAAGTGATTAAAAAGACAAAGAAAAATAAAACAATTCTGTTCAGCTCCCTACCTTAATTCTACAGGAGGCTGCAGGGCGTTCGAACTTAAGGTACTTTTTGTATAAAGTTACCTTTTCAGAAGTTTCGCTAGAAAAATAAAATGAGCTGTGACATCACTATATAAAGTACTTTTTTCTTTAGTAGAAATATTCTATATGGGTAAATATTTACATAAGAAACAAGACTGGAAGATATTTCTAATGCTGTATAGCAGTTTTAATGCCTATATGCAACTTGTATTGAATCTTATCCGATATGTATGTAAAAAAGGATTTGTATGCGTACGTACATTACTAGAGAAGCTTTTGAGGTTCAGTACGTTATTCACACATCTTCCCTGAGGCTCTGAGTCGGTTGTTTTTATTTAACTAATTAAGAAGCAGATGTGCCATGTAATGACTTAAAAACAAAAGAGAAGACATTGCTTTAATTCCCCTGGCAAAGCATGGAAGGAAGTAGTGAAGGGGAAAACAAATCCTTTATTTTCTCTCTTGTTCTTAAAGTGTGAGATGACTACGTAGCAAAGAGACAAGAGATCTTTTGGTAGAGATCAGCTAAAAGAGACCTGCTGAAGAGGCGAGCAGATCTGTTGTCCACACAGACTGGGTGGCTGGCTTTCGTGGTGCAGACATCAGGCCTTTACCAGCAGGCACACCTTACAGATACACAGAGAACAACGTTCTCAGCAACAGAAGGGCCAGACGGTGTTAGGGACCCAGGAGCAAACCCCCGCGCCCCGCTCCAGGCACCCCCCGGTGC